GTGACTTAAGTGCAATCCTACTGAACCAAACTTCCAAACTTCCCTTGACACTGCAACTGTAAAATTTAAAAAGTGGTTCCAAGCAAACAAAATGAAACCCAGTATCAAAAAATCAACGTTCCTCAGCATCAAAGATGGCCCAAATGCAAACTTACTGAAGAAGAGTGTGGCTTCAGTTTTTTCCCAGCGTGACCTGGTTCTTATTGTATCTAACAAGCTCACATGGAACGAAATGGCACTCGTCGGACAACCCCAGCCAATGGTGTTTTCTTTCCAAATCAAACGTAGTCTCACAAAGAAATAAACTGTTGCCACCAAGCTTAATGCCTATACTGGGTGGATAGTACCCATAGAAATCAACGCATCCCAAGCATGGTCGTAGCAGACCAAATATGGAACAATTCTTAAGAATAAAAAACCTACCGACGAAATGGATTTCTTGGTCAAGTAAATGTGATATTGAAATGCTACGGGAACTCAAGCTTATAATTCTGATCCTCTATATTGAAATGCAAGATATATTCATAGCCCTGCTCGAAAAAATTACGATCTTAGGATGAATAGAAAATCTGAAACCTGCGAAATCACCCGACAATAAACAAGAGGCGAATTTCAAACTTCAAAAAGTCAATTGCAAAGAACAGGTGACTAATTTTTTCAAAGGAGTGAAACATCTCGACTACTGTCTCGTTCGCTCGTGCTCAACGTTCAGTCGCAGACCAAAAAAGCGTTTCTGCCCAACATATAGCAGAACTACTTCAAGAAAATATACAACGAAGTCAACAAATGCACATGAAAAATCTTGTGCAGATGTGGAAACTGCAATTTGTACCACAATCTTTTGTGCCGATGTGGAAACTGCAATATGTACCACAATCTTTGAGATAAATTTTATTCTACTACTACTGTAGCTAGGGTACATGACCAAAGGGTTAAGATGCGAGAATCGAAATCTGTAGGCCGTAGGGTCGATTCCCGTAGCTGAGAAAATTTAAAATCTTTTTTCTTGTTTTTGCGTTTTGCAATTTTGAAGTTCGCTTGCGCTATGTTGCTTGTGTTTGTGACTTTTCTGCTTGTGGTTGCGAAGTTATGCTTACCTCTGTGTTGAAATTTGGGTTTTTGTTGCTTTGTTATTTTTTTGCTTGAAATATGTTTTCGCCATGATAGGTTTTGGCTAAGCCCATATCGGTTTAAGAACCTCATATTGCACCGTTTGAAAGGAGATTTAATCTTTTGTTTGGGTGTGTGCTTGCGCAATATGTGTCATCTTAATAAAATTTTGAATTTTATGTAACTCGAAACTTGTTTGATTTCCGGCTCAATGGATGTCTATCCAGGTTATATCGGCTTTGCTGCCGATACATAGTTGATACATACATTTACAAAACTGGAAATTTTCAAGCAATTAACTGATAAAAGTTGGTACAATTGTCTAAATTTGTTGGCTTTTCGATTTGTTCAACTATTTTTTGGCATTTTCTTTCCGAAAACGTTGTTCATTTTTCCCCGTTTTTATATTGATTTTTTGAAGTTCAACTGACATTTTTTGCTAAGCTTAAAGCAATTTACTCAAATTTGATTTTCCAGGTTTCGTTTTAAATGTCGTGTTTTAAGTAATGTGTTCCATTTTTTCTAAGGTAATGGTTGTTGCTGAAATTTGATTTTCACGCTTCAACTTAATATTTTTTAGTTCCACTTTAATTTGTTTAATTTTTCAGCTTTTCTCTAACGTTTCGAATGTTGTTGGGCCAGCAGTTGATTTACCTTTTTTTTTCTCGTAACGCTTCTTCGGCGTAAATGGTTTTAGTTGCTTTATCGGCGTAGTTGGCTCAGATTTTGTGGTTTGAAGGTCAAAAGTTTATTTATGTCACTTGTGCTTTGGTGAGAGGGGGCATAAATTGTTTTTCATCTCTCAAAAAAGCTTTTTTATCTCTCAAAGGCTCAGTAGTCGTCGTCCCAAGTTTTGACTGCTCAGTTACCTCTTGTTGTTTTTTTTTGAAAACGCTCGGAACATTCGGTGCTACTTGCACCGCAATCGGCTATCCTTTTTTCAATTTGATGTTGTTTTTAGATTAAATTATAAAATATAAAACTACTTCATAAAATCAAAAAAATTCAGCAAAAAAATTTCGAAATCTTTCAAATTGATTACATTTGTTTTTCTTGTCATTTCGAATAGGCGTAATTTCTAGTTTTTTTTTCAGGTCTTTTCATCACAGTTCGCAAGTGCCGAAAAATTATGATTTTTCGCCTTTTTTTTCTGACTGAGTGGCTTTTGTCCTATTTTCTTTACGCTATCTGTCGTGATATTTTGTATGCTTGCCATCGCATCGTTGATCTTTTTGTCTCTGTGATGCTAATTTTCTTATGGTGATGGTAAGATAGTTCAAGATTTTTTATGATTTATCTGCATGTAGTTGTAGACAGGGGCGGATCTACGGTTTTCTCGAGGGAGGGGGGGGAGTGGTGTGTTGGATTTTCAAAAGTTTTCAAAATTTTTCTCGAGTTTTTTTTGTAGACCGACCAAATAGATTTTCCGAGCTTTCCCAAAGCACTATAAAGACACTGTTTTGGCCAAATTTGATGGAGACACAGGCAAAGTTTTGAAAAAAAAGTGTTTTTAGGCACTTGTTGGAAAAATTTGACCAAAAAAATTGCTTTTTTGGCGCGCGCTCCCCGTTAAAATTAGTATATTTTGGTACCGTAAGGCGCCTTGAGCAAATTATTAGGGTCAGTCACCCAAAAATTGATTGACATCTCATACTAGTACAAAGAGGGGGGACCCTTTGGGTCGGCAGGGGGTCGAATCCCTGAGGGAGGGATCTCTGCCCCCCCTAAATCCACCCCTTGTTTTAGACATAATTTTCTTTTTCATAGCAAGTGGCGCAAAGCTCCCCTCCGCTTGTGTTGTAAAAAATCTTATTTCTTGTTTTTAAGCAACAATTCAACTGTTTTTTTTTCAGTTAATGTTCGAACTGCAACCACCCCTATTCAGAAAAACAGAAGAAATACGAAAATTTTTGAGTAGATTTTTGGCGTTCTCGTTACGTGTTTGATTTTTGGGTCCCTAGAAAACGCAAGTGTCAAAGACTAGTCTCCTTTTTAATGAGAGCTAAAAAAGCGCAAAAAAATGTTAAACCTGTGTTCGAAGATGATTGTAAGGCGCATAATTTTTTTTTCAGAAACCCCGCTTTCTTACTTGTACTTCATTCTGCTTGGTGCATAGAAAACGGTATCTATTGTGAAGTAAAAACTCATCATATATGCAAATACTAACTATATATCTCGTTTTGTTCGCTGGAACTCGCTAAAACCCACATTAATTTCAAGAAAAGCAAAAAAAAGTTTTTTTGTTTTTTTTTATGAATACTGTCGGAACATTCGGTGCTACTTGCACCGCAATCGGCTATCCTTTTTTCAATTCTATTTCGTTTTTAGAACAATTTATAAAATATAAATTTAGAACAATTTATAAAATATAAAACTACTTCATAAAATCAAATAAACTCAGCAAAAAAATTTCGAAATCTTTTAAATTGATTTCATTTGTTTTTCTTGTCATTTCGAATAGGCGTAATTTCTAGTTTTTTTTCATGTCCTTTCATGACATCTCGCAAGGGCAGAAAAATTGTATGATTTTTTGCCATTTTTTTCTGACTGAGTGGCTTTTGTCCTATTTTCTTTTCGCTAGCTGCCGTGATATTTTGTATGCTTGCCATCGCATTGTTGATCTTTTTGTCTCTGTGATGCTAAATTTCTTATGTTGATGGTAAGATAGTTAAAGATTTTTTATGATTTCTCTGCATAAAAAATTTCTCTGCATGATTTCTCTACATTCTTTTGCATGTAGTTGTAGACAAGGGCGGATCTACGGTTTCCTCGAGGGATGGGAGGGCGGATTTCCAAAAGTTTTCGAAAATTTTGTCGACTTTGTAGATCGACCAAATTGATTTTCAGAGCTTTCCGAAAGCACTAAAAAGACCCTGTTTTGGCCAAATTTTATGGAGACAGACAAAATTTTGAAAAAATTGCTTTTTTGGCGCGCGCTCTCCCCTCAAAGTTAGTATATTTTGGTGCCGAAAGGCGCCTTGAGCAAGTTATTAGGGTCACTCACCCAAAAATTGATTGATATCTGAAACTAGTACAAAGGGGGGGGGGGAGCCTTTGGGTCGGCAGGGGGGCGAATCCCTGAGGGAGGGGCGTCTGCCCCCCCCCCCCCTAAATCCGATCCTTGTTTTTTTCATAGCATTTGGTGCAAAGCTTCGCTTCGCCTGTGTTGTAAAAAAATCTAATTTCGTGTTTTTACGCATTAATTTAATTGTTTTTTGCAGTTAATGTTCGAACTCCAACCACCCCTTTTCAGAAAAACAGAAGAAATACGAAAATTTTTGAGTAGATTTTTGGCGTTCTCGTTACGTGTTTGATTTTTGGGTCCCTAGAAAACGCAAGTGTCAAAGACTAGTCTCCTTTTTAATGAGAGCTTAAAAAAAGTGCAAAAAAATGTTAAACTTGTGTTCGAAGATTGTAAGGCGCATTTTTTTTCAGAAACCCCGCTTTCTTACTTGTACTTCATTCTGCTTGTTGCATAGAAAACGTTATCTATTGTGAAGTAAAAACTCATCATATATGCAAACACTAACTATATATCTCTTGTTGTTCGCTGAAACGCGCTAAAACCGACACTAATTTCAAGAAAAGCAAAAACATTTTTTTTTGGCTTTTTTTAATTCGGTCGGAACATTCTGTGCTACTTGCACCGCAATCGGCTATCCTTTTTTTCAATCTGATGTTGTTTTTAGAAAAATTTATAAAACTATTTTGTTTGATAATTTAACTTTTGATAGCATTTTCATGAACTTCTCCGTTTTTCTAGTTTGAATTAGCATGCAATAATATTGGTTTTCTAATGTTGGTTTGTCTATTTAAATTTTCCATGGAATAATATCCTGGCATTGGATTGGTTAATTTTAAATAACAAATTATACCTTCAGCTATTTTCAGGTGCCATGGTCCATAATACCAGCACATTGCCCCGTTTTCTGAAAGGATAGCAACGGTTCTATTTTATCCTTGAATTCAATTGCAAAATTTGTTGTCCAAACGGGTAAAATTGACTAGACATCGTTCCATTACTGCATATTATAGTCATTGTTGCCTCTGAAATTATGATTTTATGGTCAAATTTGGTTAATTTGTACTTTCTTTTTTGTTTTAAGTTGGCGACCAGTCTGAGTTATGATTTTATTGAATATCCAGGCAAAACAGGCGATTCAGTTGTCTATGATTTCGATAGCAAAAGTAAAGACCAAGGGTTTGCAATTTTAAATTGCTCATTCAATCCGCCTTTTGACAGCGTATCGTGGCAATATGTTGCTGTCGATAGCGATTCCAAGGCTAAGTCTCTTATTACTGATTCTAAATGGGCCGATATTTTCATTGATGGGAAATCGCATTTCATTCACGACAATGACAGTCTGAAAGTATCTGCATGGAACGACCAATCAGACTCTAAGACGCGACGTTACCGATGCATTGGTAACATTCGCAACTGGGGCTCTGTCATAAGCCCTGCAGGTAAGGTCACTGTTGCAGTGCCTCCTTACGCAGTTTCATCAGGAGGTCCAACAAACTCGAAGGAGTATGAAAATGGACTTTTGAAGCTGTTTTGTCCTGTCAAAGCAACTCCACATCCCGCTGTCACTTGGTTTAAGAATGACATCAAGTTATTTACGACTCCTCGTATATCGACCATGCCTCCATCAGACTTCAGTACGGCCGCTCTGGAAATCTCAAATTTACAGTTGCGAGACCAGGGAATATACTCATGTGAGGGTTCGAACTTAGTAGGCGACAAGCGTGTTTACGTTTCACAGTTGGATGTGATCAAAGGTCATACCAGCGAAGGCTTACAATTTTACATCTCGCCTTCAAATCTGAGTGCCTTAGTAGGAGAAGATGTAGTGTTGCAATGTGCTGCCAGAGGGTTTCCTACTTCTATCAAGTACACCTGGTACAGAGATAATGTGCCGCTTCCGGACGGAGCATCAGACGGAAAGTACGCCATTATCGGCAGCGGAAACATCAAAGTGAAACAAGTTAATCTCAAAGACACGGGCAAGTATAAGTGTATTGCTACTGTTAGTGGAATGGTCGAAGCAAAGTCTCAAGATCCGATTCATCTTCAAATCAACGAAGCGCCAAGATTTAGCATCCCTACGATGGACTCTTTCATCCAGATTCAAGGCGAAGAACATGGTAGTGTGGTACTCCCATGTCCTGTAGTTGCGCATCCTGCGCCTTCTGTTTCCTGGTACGTGGATAAAAAACCCTTAAAAGTGGATGGAATTTATTTTGTCCAAGAGCCGGATTCAATGCAAATCTATGGGCTGCTTATTAGTGACAGTAGGATTTACGAATGTGTCGCCGAAAACGATTACGGCTCTGTTTACAGAATATTCCACTTGTCTGTTCTGCCGAAATCTCCGACAATGACTTATACATCAATTTCACAGCCGCTCATGTTCGAGGCAGAGTCGACTACAATCAACTCGGTGACGCTTTCGTGGAAACCACCCGGAGCTCAACGTAATGATTTAGTGCGATATCTCATTTCATATCACGAGAAAAACTCAAAATTTCCAAGAGTAAAGAAGGTGACGATATTGAAAGACAAAACCACTCTTGAGATTGGAAGTCTGCAAGAGGATACCTTGTACGAGTTCAGTGTCCAGGGGGTGAATTCGAATAACGACCTTGGACAAATGGCAACTACAAGAGTGAAAACACTAAGGAGAACATTGCTCGGCGATATTACTGTGTCAGTGCAACAAGTCCAAGCCAAGAACGCCTTGATTGAATGGAAGGTCGTATCTTCTAGCTACAACACTTTCCAACTCGAGTACGTAACTTCGTGTTTCACGAACTCTCCCCGAGCGTCTCGAGTTACAACTGCTTATAAATCGTATCTCCTCCAAAACTTGGAGGAGAGTTGCCGATATAATGTGACTGTGTCTTCAGGCAACAGTCAAGGCCAAGTTGCACTAGGAAGCACTTACTTCGAAACACTTCCAGCGATACCATCTGCAGCTCCTGAAGATGTCCGAGCTATGGGAATTGATCCGAGAAAAATAGAAGTTTGGTGGGCGGAAGTCCCGAAAAAGGATCAAAATGGGAAGATAACTCAATACATAGTCAGATACCGGCCGGAAAGAATGAAGAAAGTTGTTAACACCGAAACAATATCCGCTGAGGAAGGAACACATGTAGTACTTTCCGGTTTAGACAAGGATTCTGTGTACCAGATTTCAGTTGCAGCGGCAAGCTCTGTGGACATAAAGAATCCCTTTGGACCGTACTCAGATTGGATCTCGGCTAAAACCTTAGTGAATACTCTTACGGAAGACAGAGTTCCAGGAAAAGTGAAAAGTTTATCAGTAGTTGATGTAACAGACAGCACTATAACCATTAAGTGGGAAGGAACCCAAGACGGAGAAACTATAAGAGTGAGATCGTACGTCCTTTATATTGATCAAATGGTGCCAATCAATGTCGAGGCTGTCGTACCAGCCACCGATGACAGATTCACCTTCACAAACCTCAAGGTCAATAAAAACTACATCATAAAAATGGCCGCTAAGAACAACATCGGAAATGGACCGGACTCTTTAGTCTATCAGAGAACAGCCGAAGCACCGTCAGTATTCGACATGCCCCTGCAGATGCCGAACAATGTTTCGGTGCGAGCGATCAGTCACGATACTTTACAAGTGTCTTTTACTTCGAATAATCCGACTAAAGATGATTCATGGTACAAAGTTCGAGTAACTTGGAGATACCCGACAGTTTTTACCCAGGAGTTTGACTGCCGGCCACCGCTGACTCTGTGTTCAGTTACGGGACTTAGACCAGGAACCGAATATGAAATCGATGTTAAAGCATACAGAGGCGCTCCAGGTGACCCCAATGCCATTTCCAGTCCCTGGAGTATGACAGCTCAGGGGAGAACTCTGGAAACAGTGCCAGCATCTGCACCCACTGATCTGACTTCCAGTACGGTTACCGCGAAGCCGAACAATGTCCTTCTGATGTGGATGGCACCCAGTGAGCCAAACGGGGCTATCACTGGATATGATTTGTCCTATACGACTGATCCGTCGGCAAAAGACTGGGCACTTGATCATGTTTTGGGGAATGTTTTAGCCCACGAAGTGAAGGATTTAACGCTGCAAACTACTTATTACTTCAAAATAGCCGCGAGAAACAAAAAAGGCCTTGGACCTTCTTCAGCTCCATTATCATACACAACTCCTGCAGTTGGAACTAACGGAGGTAGTTTTGGATCTCAGGGTGAAGAAAGAGATAACGGAAGGAGCGGAGGGTTGGACAAAGAATATTTTTACATTATGATAGCGGGAGTTGTAGGAATAACAGTTATCGTTGTGTGTCTTATCATCGCCTTCGTTGTATGTCGTATTATCAATCATCAAGCAGCTGCCTCGATTATTGATAAGCAAAGCGTCTTGGGGAGACCCGAATCAAGTTTGACCCAACAGGGATCTCTATACGCAGCTGCCGGAAAACAAACACAACTGCAACAACCAGATGTTACAGATTTGTATGTACACAAAGACCAATTGATGGAGATGAAGATTGGCAAAGACCTCTCATTGACTTACATGCCAGCAGGCTCGGGCTCTCAGTTGAGTAATGGCATCAATGACTTCATGAGATCAGGTAGTCCTCCAGATATCAACAAGCATCTTATGACAACGAATTTTTCCATGGGGGCACCGTCGCCGTCGGGATACCCGCAGATGTCAATGACACCTCAAAGCATGATGCACCTGCAATCGAATCCGTCGCCGAATGTGTTAAAGCAAATGCAGCTCAACGCAATGCATGAGATGCAGCAGTCGAAGACGTTGCCCTCGCATCATCAACAGCCGAATTTAATTCGACCGACTCCAGTGAGAATGGGAGCCCACCTGCCCCCACCGCTCTCTCAGCATCCCCACTCAATGCACTCCGATGTGCCCACTATGGCAATAAAACCCATGCTCATGTCCACTTCGAACCATACAACTCCTACACCTATGTCGAATTCGCCACACTGCTACAGCGGAGGCTCAATGGGACAGTACAAACATTATGAGTGTGATAATATGGGCGACTATAATGGCTCGGACAATGCCGTTTACAGTCCTCCCAGCTCCCTTTCAGGTGGAAATATGTCACGTGACGGAAGTCTGGGACGTTCCAACAAGTACCACAATTCGGATAAGGCACTGAAAGCTTTACCATCGATGCCTCCTGAGCTAAAACCCCTTTCTAGTCTAAGCTCGCCCACTGGACCTGTACTGCCGATAGCCTCAATGCACAATCAGCCCTCTAACCAGTACCTCCAGATGCAGGGTAACCTCCCTCCCTCAAGTGTGTCAATGATACCTCCGGTATCCTCAGCACATTACAGGCCCCCGACCCACCCTAGAATGGGAACAGGAGGTATTAATCAACCCGCAGGAATGCCCAATGAGTTTTACAATCACTCAGTGATGCAACAGGAAGCGGACGCGTGTGTTGATAGAATAGCCGGACTGATGAATAAATTAAACAGCGGGGGCAGTCACCAGAATCATAATAACCAGCATGGGTATCCTTTTCACGTGACAGGCGAGATGGACTGCTAGTGAAAAATACGCAAACTGACTTCAGTTTGCTGATAGGTTTCATTGCATTTTGGCATGTGCAATTGCAGTTATCCTAAGAGCTCTTAATCATCCGACGACGAATCAATTTATAGTGTCCTTCTTTCATCGATGTCTATTACCTTTTCTCAATCTGCTTTCTATTGTGACAAATCGAATCTCGTTTTTACCCCTGAACTTGTCACGAAGACTTCAACCTAAGATAGTTACTATAGGAGAAACTTTATTAGTTATTATCCGCAGGAGATTTCTTTTACCACGGAATTCTCTATTTTGTATCACTATTTCATAAAATCATCCAGCGAGATGTTTTGGATATTGCCTCATTCTATGTAAATCGTAGATTACATTTTGCATCAATTTTTTATTCTTTGTATCTTTCGTATTGTGGCTGCTTACTTTACTTTCTATGAGTCATTTTCCTAGCCTGAAGCTCTTATCTTTTTACCCTTTTCGCTTCCAACAAAGGTTATCTGCTGGCATTATTCTAAATGACAACCTCACGCCAAATTGGGAGTGATGTAAGCTATACCTTCAGGTTAGCTATTATACTTTTTTCAGTTATTTATCAGGAAATCTGAAATCGTAAAAAATAGGCAATAAGTTGTGAGATTCATTTTAGTTTTTCATGCTGTATTTTTCTTGAACCAAGTGTCATTTTTAAAGAAAATCTGAACCAGCAGTTCAATTTCATATGCGACGTAAAACATTACTGACAAAATGGACTTTGCGTAAGGATCTATTGATGGTAAAGAGGGAGTTTTTCAAACAGCGGACCAGATGTCTAGACCCTCGGTCTCCATAGTTCAAATAAGGCGGATGAAAAAAGATAAGAAACAGCAGTTGGACTCACACTGAAATTCCGGTTGCTTTTCAATTCTACTTTCCTATCGCTTTGTTTTTCAATTGCTCTATTGTGAACTGCAACAAAAATGATATGCGCTGCGCTGATAAACAACATTTTTTATTTGAGTTTTTGATGTCTGTGTTATTTGATGGCTTTTTTCAGCTTGTAGCAATGTTAATTGAAAGCGTGGAAAAGATATTTTCGGTATTAAATTTTAGTTTATAATGACGCAAACCGAACTAGGATTATAGAAATTAACTTGTTTTTGACCTTTGTTTCAGAAGTGGAAAGCATTGTTTTCTTGCTGTATCTTCAACGGAGGTTTACCATTGCTACCATGTGCTGCAAATCTTTCTGCGCATTTCGGTTTCCGAACGAATGACAAATCAGAGAAAATTTGGTTAATTTGATTGAAAACCTACTAAACTGAGGAATCAAAACGTTGATTTAAAAAATTTTATTGAAATTTCAGTCGATGATTTGTTAAAAGTTGATTTAGAAATAGTTGAAGTCTCGATCTGGTTATAATTATGTGTATTTAATAATCAATTTTTCCATCCCTAAAATTTTACCTGAGTCGAAAAAAAACAAGCAGCAAATTAGTTCTCGAACCTGCGCCAATTTGCGTTGTCATTGCTCTCAGAAGGGGCCGGATCTAGGATTTTCTCGAGGGGGGGGGGGGGGGTCTTCAGGGCGGATTTTCAAAACAATTTTGAAAAAATTTCCACTTTTTTGACCAGTCGAACAAATTGATTTTCCGGGTACTCCCAGAAAATTATAAAAACCCTATTTTCACAAAGATTTTCGCCGCAGGTCTAAAATGCCATTTTTGGGCACTTTTAGGAAAATTTTGACCAAAAAGTTGCGTTTCTTGGCTCGCGCTCCCCTTCAAATTGAGAATATATTGGCACCTTCAGAAATTTCAGAAAAAACGCGCCTTATAAAAATTTTAAGGTTGGTCAGCTGAAGATGGGGTCGAATCCCTGGGGGGGGGGGGGGGGGGGGGGGGTCCATCGTTTTGAGATGTAAAATTTGCGTTTTTGTTGTAAACATTTTATGTAGCCTTAATTCAAAGTGATTTTTTCTATGGTTTTTTTTTCTAGAAAACGTGATTTTTTGGTGGCTTACATGATATGTTAACGGCACCCAATTTTGGAAGACAGACTGTAGTCGCCTTTGTTGCTAATATATCCTAATTTTAGGAGGTAGAAGCGATAGTGCATGCATGCCAACTTTACTTATCGGTGTGTATCCAATTAACGATTCTAAATAAGCGAAATTTAACCATTATTCGAATGGTTTATAGTTGCTAGTATCAAATATAGTTTTTGGATGGCTGAATTGCAGTGCTATTTTCGGTGAATATTTTTAACACTTGTCGATACAAAAACTTCGCATATTTTGAAGAAGCGACCTTTGATACCCAAAGAAACGATTTGTAATCAAGTTTTCTTTGATATTAACAAAAACTCGAAGTTAGTTAATTTGAAGCTAGGGCAAAATATTCATTTGAATGGTTATTTTTAGCCAATCCTGCGACCTTTTACTGCTAGGTTCTATATTTAGACAGGGTATGTTTAATCAAATTTATCGTTGAATTTGAATTCATCAAATATTTCTTTCATAGTAAGAGTAACTGTTCCGTTCGAGAAATTGTTCCTTCTGAAACTAGGGCTTGATTTGCTGCAAAAACAAAAGATCCAGTCGAAAGGCTGATTTAGCCTGCTGCCTTTTGCTGTTGGATTTTGTCCTAAGACTGCACTAGTTTAATCTGACTCATTTTACAAATTAAAACGCATCAATTTTATCGTTCGCTTACCGTTCTTCAAAATGAGATATCTCTGAAGCATAACAACTCCAGTATTTCCAAAAAATTATTGTTTTTTCAAATTTTATCCGTTTTTTGGATGGATAAATAGAAATGCTTTTTTTTCGGAGTTAGTCTTTAGCTACTTGTCGGTACAAGCCTCTTGGATGTTTTACATGGTCTCGAAAAGTTCAAAGATTTGATTTTTTTCTCTTTGTAGCAAGGGATTACGTTTGGGATTAGCAAGCGTTATGAAATCGGAGCTTAGACTTTTTTCAGGTAAACAACTAATTTAACAAAATCAGTTGAATCACTTATGATGCTGTTATGCTCTTGACATGCTCAATTTCAGATTTAATTACCGAATAGTAGTAGCTACTCACGCTACATCTAGAACGAAAACCATTGTATGTATAATTATAGTTTTGATAATAATTTTCTACTGATGGTTTTTCGTCTTCATGATAATCCACTTAATTTCTGTCGGGGTCCATCGTTTTGAGATGTAAAATTTGCGTTTTTGTAGTAAACATTTTATGTAGCCTTAATTCAAAGTGATTTTTTCTATGGTTTTTTTTTCTAGAAAACGTGATTTTTTGGTGGCTTACATGATATGTTAACGGCACCCAATTTTGGAAGACAGACTGTAGTCGCCTTTGTTGCTAATATATCCTAATTTTAGGAGGTAGAAGCGATAGTGCATGCATGCCAACTTTACTTATCGGTGTGTATCCAATTAACGATTCTAAATAAGCGAAATTTAACCATTATTCGAATGGTTTATAGTTGCTAGTATCAAATATAGTTTTTGGATGGCTGAATTGCAGTGCTATTTTTGGTGAATATTTTTAACACTTGTCGATACAAAAACTTCGCATATTTTGAAGAAGCGACCTTTGATACCCAAAGAAACGATTTGTAATCAAGTTTTCTTTGATATTAACAAAAACTCGAAGAAGATTCGACCCCATCTTGGTCAGCTGAAGATGGGGTCGAATCCCTGGGGGGGGTCCATCGTTTTGAGATGTAAAATTTGCGTTTTTGTTGTAAACATTTTATGTAGCCTTAATTCAAAGTGATTTTTTCTATGGTTTTTTTTTCTAGAAAACGTGATTTTTTGGTGGCTTACATGATATGTTAACGGCACCCAATTTTGGAAGACAGACTGTAGTCGCCTTTGTTGCTAATATATCCTAATTTTAGGAGGTAGAAGCGATAGTGCATGCATGCCAACTTTACTTATCGGTGTGTATCCAATTAACGATTCTAAATAAGCGAAATTTAACCATTATTCGAATGGTTTATAGTTGCTAGTATCAAATATAGTTTTTGGATGGCTGAATTGCAGTGCTATTTTCGGTGAATATTTTTAACACTTGTCGATACAAAAACTTCGCATATTTTGAAGAAGCGACCTTTGATACCCAAAGAAACGATTTGTAATCAAGTTTTCTTTGATATTAACAAAAACTCGAAGTTAGTTAATTTGAAGCTAGGGCAAAATATTCATTTGAATGGTTATTTTTAGCCAATCCTGCGACCTTTTACTGCTAGGTTCTATATTTAGACAGGGTATGTTTAATCAAATTTATCGTTGAATTTGAATTCATCAAATATTTCTTTCATAGTAAGAGTAACTGTTCCGTTCGAGAAATTGTTCCTTCTGAAACTAGGGCTTGATTTGCTGCAAAAACAAAAGATCCAGTCGAAAGGCTGATTTAGCCTGCTGCCTTTTGCTGTTGGATTTTGTCCTAAGACTGCACTAGTTTAATCTGACTCATTTTACAAATTAAAACGCATCAATTTTATCGTTCGCTTACCGTTCTTCAAAATGAGATATCTCTGAAGCATAACAACTCCAGTATTTCCAAAAAATTATTGTTTTTTCAAATTTTATCCGTTTTTTGGATGGATAAATAGAAATGCTTTTTTTTCGGAGTTAGTCTTTAGCTACTTGTCGGTACAAGCCTCTTGGATGTTTTACATGGTCTCCAAAAGTTCAAAGATTTGATTTTTTTCTCTTTGTAGCAAGGGATTACGTTTGGGATTAGCAAGCGTTATGAAATCGGAGCTTAGACTTTTTTCAGGTAAACAACTAATTTAACAAAATCAGTTGAATCACTTATGATGCTGTTATGCTCTTGACATGCTCAATTTCAGATTTAATTACCGAATAGTAGTAGCTACTCACGCTACATCTAGAACGAAAACCATTGTATGTATAATTATAGTTTTGATAATAATTTTCTACTGATGGTTTTTCGTCTTCATGATAATCCACTTAATTTCTGTCGGGGTCCATCGTTTTGAGATGTAAAATTTGCGTTTTTGTTGTAAACATTTTATGTAGCCTTAATTCAAAGTGATTTTTTCTATGGTTTTTTTTTCTAGAAAACGTGATTTTTTGGTGGCTTACATGATATGTTAACGGCACCCAATTTTGGAAGACAGACTGTAGTCGCCTTTGTTGCTAATATATCCTAATTTTAGGAGGTAGAAGCGATAGTGCATGCATGCCAACTTTACTTATCGGTGTGTATCCAATTAACGATTCTAAATAAGCGAAATTTAACCATTATTCGAATGGTTTATAGTTGCTAGTATCAAATATAGTTTTTGGATGGCTGAATTGCAGTGCTATTTTCGGTGAATATTTTTAACACTTGTCGATACAAAAACTTCGCATATTTTGAAGAAGCGACCTTTGATACCCAAAGAAACGATTTGTAATCAAGTTTTCTTTGATATTAACAAAAACTCGAAGTTAGTTAATTTGAAGCTAGGGCAAAATATTCATTTGAATGGTTATTTTTAGCCAATCCTGCGACCTTTTACTGCTAGGTTCTATATTTAGACAGGGTATGTTTAATCAAATTTATCGTTGAATTTGAATTCATCAAATATTTCTTTCATAGTAAGAGTAACTGTTCCGTTCGAGAAATTGTTCCTTCTGAAACTAGGGCTTGATTTGCTGCAAAAACAAAAGATCCAGTCGAAAGGCTGATTTAGCCTGCTGCCTTTTGCTGTTGGATTTTGTCCTAAGACTGCACTAGTTTAATCTGACTCATTTTACAAATTAAAACGCATCAATTTTATCGTTCGCTTACCGTTCTTCAAAATGAGATATCTCTGAAGCATAACAACTCCAGTATTTCCAAAAAATTATTGTTTTTTCAAATTTTATCCGTTTTTTGGATGGATAAATAGAAATGCTTTTTTTTCGGAGTTAGTCTTTAGCTACTTGTCGGTACAAGCCTCTTGGATGTTTTACATGGTCTCCAAAAGTTCAAAGATTTGATTTTTTTCTCTTTGTAGCAAGGGATTACGTTTGGGATTAGCAAGCGTTATGAAATCGGAGCTTAGACTTTTTTCAGGTAAACAACTAATTTAACAAAATCAGTTGAATCACTTATGATGCTGTTATGCTCTTGACATGCTCAATTTCAGATTTAATTACCGAATAGTAGTAGCTACTCACGCTACATCTAGAACGAAAACCATTGTATGTATAATTATAGTTTTGATAATAATTTTCTACTGATGGTTTTTCGTCTTCATGATAATCCACTTAATTTCTGTCGGTTTAATTTCAAAATTATGTAGTCTTCTTTGCATACTTGTATAGCTATATAGATATGGCTGGTGAAACCTATGTGAGCGTTACATGAATTGATTTCGTATATGATTTTTGATGAAAATTTTCGGTTTGAGTTTCAGATGCCGGCTTCAATTCTGTCAGCTTAGTTAC